GACATTCAGCTTTATATAAAAGATTGTCGACGAAACAAAAACTCTCATGAAGGGTATGTGCTGGATGTGATGATTATCCTAGCACAGAATCGGTTCAGATATGTCGTCCTCATCCCAGTTTTCGCCGAAAGGGGGTCCGGCGCGGACAACTGCAACAACTCAGACAGTCGAAGGGATACCTCCGGCGGGCAAATGGCGCGAGTCTGCCACTTCGCGCTCTGCAGCGCTCCGGAGCCCTGCCATTTCACGCATTCTGGTGCTCCGGAGCTCTCCCAAAAGTGGCGCATCTCCGAAGCAAAGATTTGCGCGTCCCGGAGAGGGGTCCCATTCGCCTGCTTGTGACGTCACGGTGACGTCATGGTGACGTCATGGTGACGTCACGGTGAACGAATGGGACCCTTCTCCGGGACACGCAAATCTCTGCTCCGGAGGTGCGCCACTTTTGAGAGACCCCGGAGCACCAGAATGCGTGAAATGGCAGGGCTCCGGAGCGCTCCAGAGCGCGAAGTGGCAGACTCGCGCTATTTGCCCGCAGGAGGTATCCGTTCGACTGTCTGAGAATGCTCTCCTCTAAACATAATGCGGCTCATAACAGCTCTCCGCAAAAAGTGCAGCCTATTGGCGACGTATCGTCCTCTACCTATGTTAAACCTTAGAAACAGAATCTAGGACCCAATGGTTGAATTGTTTGTGATGGACCTACATCAATACTCAGTGGATGATTCCGCGCGGGAGACGTTATGCCCAGAAAGGGCGACGCTTTCAGAACTTCTAAAGCAGTTTTCTCTGATAAAAAAAATTGTGCGTTTTGCACTTGAGCGACAGGTTTGCTGGATTTCACAGCTTATCAAACGCAGTGTTCGGGTGCACCGCATTTCCGCTCCCGAGTAGCCGCCTCGACTGGAGTCTGCACCTATCTTGCGAACACCTCTTTAATCATTTTCACACGCTTGATTAGCGGTTGAAGCTCGCCATGCCTGCGCTCGTAGTGAGAAAGTGATAAGAGAGCATGTTCACGGAAGAGATGCAAAGTCCAAGCGAAGCGATCGCGTGGGAGCGGAAATGCTGGGGCAACGACTCTGCAATTGATAAATCTTGTAGATACTATCGTACTCTATTGCCATTCATCTTCGTTTTTGCCCTTACTCAGAAAACCAGCGAGTAGAAAAATCAAACAAAGCAAAAATTTTTGGCACTAACAAGTGAATAGTAAATTGTTCTACTAATTTTGCTTATAGCTTACATTAGGAAATCTTACCCATAAATTTTAAGAGAAGAATTGGTAGCTCAGTCAGAACTGTTCGTTTCCAGTGCTTGACCAATTGTTTTGGACAAGAAAGCAAGTTAGATTCAAATCGCTCACGTTGAAGCTACGGTTCAGGATACCAATTGACATATGATCCGTCCGCCGATTTCGATAACAAATTAAGTGGCTGGCACACCTACCACCGCTTATAAACATTTAATTCAACAGCCTCGCCACTGATGAACTTTTGGAAGTTTCAAACTCATAGCAAAAGGTGTAGTACTTCGCACTACGTGTAAGACATGTGGATTAACTCTGCTTCAGAAATGCTGAATATGCAAATGGCAGTATTTTATTAGGTGATGTGATATTCAGAAATCTTAAAATTTGCTGAAACTTAATGCGCAGGAGTTATTCGACATGGTGATTTTAGAAGTGGCACTCATTCTGCGTGTTGTTGCCGTTGGTCATGCTTACGGTAGGTACAGTTACGGTATGTATAGTTACAGTCGAGTAGATTTTCCGCTTAATATAGTGTGCTTGCACTGAAACTGAAATGCGGTAGATTTTGCGCGTGAATAAGTAGTTTCGCCCGTGACGCCGGCCAATTGCGCCGCAAAAGGCTGGCACTACTGTGCTACTTGTTCACGCGCAAATTTTACCGCATTTCACCTTCAGTGCAACTATATTAAGCGGAAAACCTACTCGACTGTAGGTTGTGCACGCAAAAATGAGGGTAGAAAGGGGGCCCTTAACCTTTCTATGCATATAGAAGTGAAGGGTAGAAGGCCATTTAGCCTTTTTATCTCTCCTATGTCAAATGACATGAGTTTGTTTCGGAGTATACTAGGATTTCATCACAAAGATGTTTAACTAGAAAGATAAATTTGTTTTCAGAACCTATTCAAAATCATTTTCCTAATGGTTTGTTACAACTCAGTGATCAACAAACTTTTTATCCAAAGCTGTTAATGGAAATTCCGTTGATAACATAGAGGACGATGCTGCACACCAGGGCTCGGCACGAGCTGGCACCAGGAAAATTTCAAAACGAAGTCCCGTTTGATATTGAAAATTTCGTACGAAGTCCCTTTTGACCTGTTTTGAAAACCCGTCATCATTTTTAAATTACTTAAAAAAATGTAGTAGTGTTTTCATGCATTTCTGATTTCATGAAAGAACTTTTCACAGCTTTCTGAGCTTTTTAAGTGGTCGAATCACATCTTGAGAAGCAGAAAAAGCCGATTTTTCGACGACGGAGCGGACCGAGAGGTTTTCAAATTGCTATAAAACGCTGAAAAGAGAACATTATGAAACTGTTTCTTCTCCGTATGTAATCTCTACAGTGTAGATACATTTTATGTAAAAAAGTATGAGAACTTATGTGAGCAAAGTGTCGGTGCCAGCTCAGCTGGCACCCAGCTGGCACGGTGCCAGCTAATTCAGAAAAAAGTTGGGCACAGCTTTCATTCACATATTTCATAAATTTTTGACCCGTAGTTCCGGTCCACCAGCGCGCATGCACACACCAAATTTGGTGTCATACTATTGCGTTTTGGCTGAAAACAACGCCTTTGTTTGTTGATGGACAGCTTGCCAATGGCATGCCGGTGGCATGCCGGCGGCATTTTTGCGGCAGTTCTCCGCCTGGGCCCCTGTAGAAACGATATCCCCCTTGCTTTCCGCGCTAAAACGAACGATATCCAGCTTGACCCGGTGCCAGCTGTGCTGAGCCCTGCTGCACACTGTTGAACAAATTTGTGAAATCCTCTGTCAAGTTGGAAGACCATCATAGAGGCTACATGCTGAAAGTACTGGAGCTATTGCTTCGGAAACGTGTGCACATCCATCATGTGTCAGCACTTGTGTCCATCATAGTAATGTAAATTGCCCTTTCTCAAACTGCCATTTTGAACAATTTCAGCTCTCTAAAAAAGTGGTAGAAAGTTTCGCAACCCCGTGTCGCTATCTATGATGAGAGTTCGACATTTCGCCAAACAAACCTTCAGTAAGGAAATCATGTCAAATCGTCAATTTCGCTACTTTTTTTCGTGACAGGAAACTGAACTGTTTTCATAACATTTCGGCGAACGTCACAAGAGCGAACAGTGTGATTTAAAGATGCATAAAAGGAGAGTGCGATAATCTCCAGAAGTTGTAGCCTCACTTCAGTATCTATTTGCTTACCATATTTGATGTGACATCCTCTTCTTGATGACCTGGAGTCAATCACTAGTTCGCTGAGTATATGTTCTGAGTGATTGTAAAAAGCTACAGGCGTAAAGGAGTGCACCGTTTTGCGTACGTTCAGCATTATTGAGTTTGTCAGGTTCGTCTTTTGTACGGGTGTTTACAACGCTCGCATCTAACGAATATTTCCCTCTGCCGTGCTTCAAAATGCAAATTATCTCCTACAGCCCCTGGATGTCAGTGCCTATATATGAGAGCACAAATGTTTGAGTTCAGTGATTGGTGGTGCGATCTTGTGGTAGACCTCCGCTTTGCTCCACATCTTGAGTATTTATAGAGAAAAAGCCGCCATGGATACTATCATTTTGAATTAGACTAGTATTAGTGTTTGTTGATGTTACTAACCCTTCTCATTTGATCCTTCAACACTACGAGTTGCAGCGCATATCATGTGCACGAAAATATATAAATAAATGCAGTCCCAACAAATGCGGCTACTGTCTGATTGCTGGTAACTCTCTTGCATATACTCTGTAGTCGATCTTTGAGTGCCATTCTGTAGAGCTGGATTCGTAAGTGTAGTATCACGATAGCAGTCGCGGTCCCAGGATTTCCGTCCGGGAAGGGGGGGGAGGGCGCGACGAAATTTTTTTTCCAAAAGACTTTGCGTGGGGCCTCAGCCACGCACTCCGAAAATTTTAGGGGTGATTCTCAAAATTTTTGCGGCTCACAAACCCACGCCCCCGAAATTTTTTTGAAATAAGGCTAATTCGAATTTTTAAAAAATTTAAGAAATTATTTAAATTGCTTACAAAAATAAACAAGTCACTTGCACATTTTTATAACCCACGTAAGTAAATTTCAAAAATTTCGCGACCCGTTCTCCCCCCCCCCCCTCGGTCCGCCACTGCACGATAGGTATTCTCAGGCTACAGCCATTGTTAGATATACTGTCTAAGAATTTTTTCAAGGTATGAAAAATTGTGCAATAAGGTTTTCACACATGCTGTTCGCCGCACAACTTTTTACGAACTTTTTGGTTTTTTTGATTATGTAAACTTGTTTCCAAAAAAATTTTTGCTTCAACTTGGAGTATCTTAAGGAAGAAGCATCAGAGTAAAAGGCAAATTTCATATTCGAAAACAGCGATTTGGGCTAGCCCAATATAAAAGTTCTTGGCTTGTTTTGTTCTTTCGTGGTGCAACAATGGCTCTCAATGGCCTAAAATCCTCACTAAAGCTCTTACGTATTCCTACAGTAATGAGGAATAATCAGTGGTTGGTTTCACACTGTAAATATAAGTCAAAACGAAATTTATAAAGTGGTGACTAAAGAGCGGTGAAGGACATTGATGCAAGTGAGTTATTGATGATCAAACACTGTGCGCATTTTTTGGGACACCCAATAGATGGGGTTGATTGAGATTGGTTCTGTTATGAGTTATGATATAACAATTGAGCATTTGTGCAAAAACATGTTCTCGTGCCCTCTTTCTTTAGGAGAAGTCGACTTGCAGGTATCAGTAAGATGGATAAGCTCATCAACAACTGTTCGGAAAACTGTTGTTTGACGAACAGATCTCTGGTGTCCGCAGTTCATGTGCATGACTTTACGTAATGTGGTGTTACAAAGTCAGTACAGAACGTCGCAAAATATGATAGCGAGTTGCCGCACCGGTTTCACCTCAATTGCACTTGTTTGAGGCTTTTTATCTCTCGTGATTTTCCGCTTGATCGCTTCCTCGTTTTCCCTAAGTACAGGAACCGAATAGCGGAGTACAGGTTGTTCAATCACAATTTGCAGTGCTCCCATCATCCTTTGCTCGCGATGATTATCTCATTCGATCCAGCAAAAGCTTAACATATCTTGCTCGAGAACGTTATGTACTGTCCTGTCTCCAGAGACTAATACTTAACTAGTGAATTTTGATACCCCTAAAGTAAATTTTGCCACCTACCTCTGAATGAATGCGTTCAGCGCGTGAGCTTAAACATAATCACAAGATCTTTTTTTCTCTTTTTGTTTGAAAACAACATTTTTTTGCTGAATACGTCGTGAGGGATGATCTTGTCATAATTCATACACATTTCTTCGCTCTTAGAATCCTTCTTCTCTCTTTTAGGCATTTTCATCATTGTACGTATTCCATCAATCGTCTTTTCTCCTACGCTCTCTCTTAGAAGAAATTATCATTATTTCAGCTTTGCATTTATTGGAATGAATCGCACATTTATATTTGTCGCGCTTTTGGCGGTTCTCATTGGCCTTACAGCAGCTCAATGGGGATATCCGTATTATGGATATTATGGTTACCGTCCATGGGGCTACGGAGGATATTATGGTTACAACAGAAGTCAGTCTATTTCACGATTCAGGAAAAAATGCATTGCTTTCTATTGTGTAATCTTCAGATCCCATTGGTGGTGCTTTACGAGGAGCATTGATGGGAGGCATGATTGGTGCCATGATGGGATAAAGCGAGCACGAAACTTTTACGACTGAAAAGCGTGTTTTCAAAAGTTATACTTCATTCGTGATGTATTTGTTTTAACACAGTATGGACCAAAGATATATGGAACGTATAAACTTAGAAATAAAAAGCGTTAAACGTGCCTGATGTTTTCTACATTTTTTCGGAGTTTGTTGCAGTGAAATAAGGAGATTGGTTAGGTTTCACGTCATTATAATCAATAGCGAACGCAGCTGATAAACGCCATTCGAGAACATCCCGCCATTGTGCTTACAGAACCTAGCTGAAAATTCGTAACTTTGCACTATCTAGAAACACTCACTTCTTTACTTATTAAAAACAACAAGTCTTTTAGCTTTGCGTACTTTCTTGCGGGGCTTCCTACATACTAACTGCAAAGATAAAGGAGACCATATAAGCTTTGATCATTTTAGTTGAGTCGACAAAAATCTGGAACACTGCAGAAGAATCCGAAATTGTCAATACAGTAGCCATCTGACCTACAGCCCGGGTCAACCTTGTGTTCCTTTTCTCACCCGCAACCCGAACCTCACATCGCGTTCACGCGCGTATTCGGGGCACCAGGTCCTTGCGGTGTGGACGCATAGCTGCTACGGAAAAGGGAGTACTTGGTTGACATCGATTGTATAGGGCTTTACAACCTGAGTGTCACAGCCGCCCTGCTCGGCCGCCACGCTTAGGTCCGCGCAGCGTTCGTGGCGCTGGCTGCGCGTCGACTGAAGCTTGGCAAAAGCCTGGGCGATACGCCGCAAACGCCGCGCGCGGCCTGAGCGAGGCGGCCGCATTGGAGGAGCCGCGCAAGCGGAGGCTGTGACTCTTATGTTGAAAAGCCCTGTACTTCTACAACTGTGAAAAGTTTATGCTGATTTCATTGCTTGTAAAGAGTCATGGCTTTCGAAAAAAGTTCGAATCATTTGATTTTGGCGTTTTCTATAGTGAACTCAAAGTTGTAACTCCTCACGGAGAGGTCCCAACAGCATAAACTTTTTGCACGGAGTAGGTTTGAAAACTTGTATATTGACAACTTCAGATTTTTCGCAGCGCTCTAGATATGGCGTTGAGACACAAAGCTTCCGTGGACCTCTTTTTCCATTTTTCTCTCTGCAGCCAATGTGTAGTGAAGCTCGGCAATGCAGTCGTTCGTAAGCAGAAAACTAAATCTTTCAAATAAAAATACAAAGATGTAAATCCGTTGAGATAGGGCAAAGTGACAGATTTTAATAAATGAAACGAAGAAACTTTCGGGACAGCCCAATGATTAATAGCATGCGCTTTTTGGTTGGAAGACTGGCCGAAGCACAGCGCAATGTCGCGTTTGTCGAATATTACTTTTTCTGCTTCGGCAAATTCCTGTAACAAGCCAAAATTCGTATTTTTATACCACAAATTTGAGCACCGGTCATCATAAACGAAGGAATTGGAGTTTATGCTCTCGAAAGAATACTTTCATTGCATGTCCGTGTGCGGTCAGAAAATCGATGGTGCACCTTGTTGGCTAACTAGTCAAGTTAATTTGTCTTACTAATCACACTGTTCTTGAACACCCTATGCACAGCAAATGAATACAGCAATCAGACGCAAAGATCATGTGAAACAATAGGGAAACGGTTTGGCTCAACTTAAATAATTTTGCCCTGTTATAGTTGTTGGGAAGTGTTGCTGTCGATTTTGCAGATGTAATTGTCAGCAATTTCAGATTTATATGAATAAATGTCCTCTTAACCCGAAAGTTACAGGAGAAGCATTCGATCTTTCCATTTAGGCGAGCTACAACACAGCCGAAGTGAAGTTACTAGAATGCGTATCTAGCAAGTTGGTCTTAAAGAATGCTAGAGTTTTGATCGTAAGGAAACCTCACAAGCTTTTAACTAAAGCAGCTAATCTGCACGAGTTATAGAGTCAAGCCAGTTACTCATAATATGCCATATCGAATGGCGTACTTGTACTACAATGGCATACTCTCCATAGTCTTTCTTTAGTCATGTGAAATATTCTGTAATGTGAAAATTATCGTTATATAAGGAGTAAGGCTCTTACTATAACGCTTAAGATTTGGCATCTCCTTCAAAATAAAGGTTATCAAAAAAGAACTTGGCAGTTCACGGCAACACACTTGGCGCTTCAGGCACATTTTGTACTGAAAGTGATTGGAGGGCGCTGATGGAATCTTTTGTTGAGTAACACGGTGTATCAAATGATCGTAACGTATATGGGAGACTTAAATGTGCACTCGCAATGCTTTGTGTGTGTGAGATAGAAATGTGCACTCGCAATGCTTTGTATGTGAGATTTTCCGTTATGATCGGTTAGGGGACATTTGCGCAATTAAAAATGACAAAAATTCATGTACTCCTTTTTGGCGTTCTTCACCTTGCTATATTGAGTTCAATCATTTGCGACACATTGCCAAGCTCTTTAGAGCGCCTTTCAAATAAAGAAGTCCGACACGAAGAAGCTGATCACTGTTATATCATTTTTCGGTCTATCACCAAGATATTAATGACTTTTAGTACGGCTAACTTTCCGACATCGTCGCCTTCCTCAGAGCCTGAAAAAATTACGAACATTTGTCCTATTCTCTTAAAAAACTATATGATGGTAAGATATAATCCAGCATCATATATGGGATTATCTCCAAGAACAGTGAGGACGGAAACTTTTGTGAGCAAGCTTCCGGTCAGTTGAAGATCACCATTATTCCAGCCGAAACCTATGGCGAGCTCAAGAGGCGAGAAACGAGAATGAATAAAGGGTCCCGATTTACTCGGAAACTTTGTCTATAGAGGTCACGCAACTCGCTGGTTCAGATCACATTTGGGGCAAAATGGCTTCTTACTGCAAAGCTACAATAGCTACTACGTTTTCGGCAAACACAAATTTTCCCGAGTTTGCTAGCCATTTTCACCCTTGCGAAGGAGTTTTTGTGCTTTTCTCCATCGCTTGCGAACTAGGGAAGGTGCTCTTTCGAACGATGTATGAGAGATGTCTATCTACAGGAAGCATTTTTGCGCTTTTACAAAAACCCGTCAGCAGAACATCTAACTCATTTCAATCAGATGATATGGCATGCGATTGCAGTACTAATGCCGCTTTTCAAGATGCTACCGCGTACTCACGGTGGATAATTGGGTCGTAGACTTTGCACATTTCCAAAATCCAAATTTCTCTTGTTAACATAGGACGAACTCTGGATAATTATCGATCGAGAATGCTAAGCGGACACAGCTTTACCGAAGAATACCTACCAAATAGATCTCTTTATGTACAATGTGCGCTGCGCTTAACTCTAGCGAAAACACGTTTACACAAAAATTGTGCTTATTATGTACAGCTAACTCCTATGACTGCTATGCGACAACATGAGCTGCACTCCTACAGCACGACATCATTATAAGAATCAATTACACATTCAGAACGAACACGTGAACTATCCATAAGCAGCGTTTCATCGGAGCAAGTTGACGTCACATTGTAGAAGTAGCGTATCCCTGCATCATTCTACCAGCAGCGGATCTGTGTAGATTGTCTTTCTGCTTTGAATTTATCGTACCCTCAATTCCAACATTTCAGAAGATGCGCCGCGCCGAGCTAGATTGAATGTTCTTGGTTGAATGTTGGCCATGCGACAGTGATGTCACAATAATCAGGTGACCGTTTTAGAACGTTTTCTTTTCGCAAAATACGAGCGGTTCTGTGTGGTCTTGTACATCTAATATCGTCACGAATGAATTTGACTTCTCATTTCATGACTCTGTAGCTAAACAAGAAATTAGAATCTCTTCTTCTGCGAACAATCACTTTAGCCCGGCTTCTCAGGCGGGTCATAATAAGAGCAGTACAATTGAGGTAATCTCAAAATCTTATATATAAAGCTGAATGTCTGTTTGTATGTATGTCTGTATGTCTGTCTGTCTGTCTGTCTGTCTGTCTGTATGTGTGTACGTATGTTCCGAATAGAAAATTCCATTTCTGAACCGATCCGGACCAAACTTGGCACACATACGCTACGGGCCCCGGCGGGTGTCATAGGCTACTTTTCGTCATCGATCGATATCGATTTTATCGATTTTTATCGATTTTTTTGCTGAGTTCACCTACGGGGCTGGGAGTTGGCACAGGGGGGTAATCGAGCATGGGGATTCCGAATACGATATTGGTTTTCAGGATTATCGATTACTTTTATCGATTTTATCGATTTTTTTGCAAAGTTTGAGCTACGGGGCTGGGAGTTCGCACAGGGGGGTAATCGAGCATGGGGATTCCGAATACGATATTGGTTTTCAGGATTATCGATTACTTTTATCGATTTTATCGATTTTTTTGCAAAGTTTGAGCTACGGGGCTGGGAGTTCGCGCAGGGGGGTAATCGAGCATGCAGATTACGAATACAATATTAAGATCGACATCGATCGATAACGAAAAGTGGACTGTGACACGCGCCGGGGCCCGAAGTGTATGTGTGCCAAGTTTGGTCCGGATACGGCGGAGCCGGGTAAGCCAGCTAGTAATTTCACTAAAATCTAAACTCTTTCAAGCTTCTTGATATGTATAGTTTTACGCGGACTCCATAGCTGTGAGCAGTAATCAAGTTTAGGTAAAGAAAAATATTGTGGAGTTGTACGAGAGTAGTTAGATCATTCGAAGTGGACACTCCGAAATTATGAATCCAAAGTCGAAGGTTTTCGACTGTTTCGTTCTCATGCTCAGTAAAATCAAGAGTTTCGTCAAGACGAAGCCACCGTAGTTCTAACTACGATGCATAATATCCACACCATTCATGTCGTCAGCATACATTTTGGCTTATACACATGTATAGATGCTACTAGCAATGCTAGATCTACTGTATACTAGGAAAGAGTGAAGAAATAACACTCACTTGTGGTGCTTCACTGGTGCACATGCATCTCTCGGGCAGGACCAAGTCTATGGGGCAATGCGACCGCCCTTTTTCTTGTTTGTTGTTAGATTTAGTATATTAGTTTAGTGTAGGTTTTCTGTCGTAAAGATAAATATATTTAATCTAGTCTGCTCCTTATCCTTAATAGCGCTACGCGCTATATTATCGTCTTTTACAGGTAGGGATAGTCC